GGGTTAAAACCTGTACATATTAATTACCTAATTTGCATAATTAACCAATTTTAAGCTTTCACACTGATATCTAAAGTACTAATTATTCCATTTCAATGAAACTTAGTACAAAGATGCTCTAGGACAATGTACAAACCTAATTAGTTTGGGGTAAAAATCTGTTCATATTAATTCCCTAATAAGCATAATAATTCATAATTTTTTGTTTCTAATCACATTTCCATTAAACTTGGAAACATAGATTTTCTGTTACATTGCGCATACCTCATTAGTTTTACACTCAAATCTGTTCATATTAATTTTCTGATTTGCATAATTAGTTTTCAGCTAAGTAATTTCGAATTATATTTAATGTGTCTCCAATACTCTCAGCACATGGGAGTTCTTTCTAAGCTTTCTTTGATTGCTGATTAGACTGGGTAGTTTTTTATGGAATTTATTTTAACTGATTCATGACGAGTTGAATGTAAATATCAGAAAAAAGGTACATTTATATTCGCTGGATTTTATTTTCACAGAATCATTCCTTCAGCGAAAATAGTGAAAATTAATTCCAAGCGAAAATAAAGTATTCCACAGTAATGAAATCGATGTGTTAGTGAACTTGATAAGCTAAGCTAAATTTATGGTTCATTGAATTACATTTGTTTTTTATAAGAAGCCTAACTGGCACTATCAACATGGAAATTAATGTAATACAATTGAATAATAATGTATAATAGTTTGAACTAAATTAATGGAAAACATGTTTTTTGAGATTAAGACAATGTCTTGGAACAAATGTTCATGCAGCCCTGGAATATGCTGCAAAGTCATGGAATTTGAAAGATGTCCTGGAACGTCTTACAACAATCACTTTTAGGGTATTGAAAATAAATAATCATCATAAAAATTTGCAAAGTGGTAGTCTATTTGAATCACCATAAAATGTGAGGAAATGGTTGCTTGGGACTCATGAACCCTAATTTTGGTGCCAACAGGCAAAATTTTAGTCAATTTTCAGTTTTTACTCATAAAATTTGGCTATTTTTGTCCCAATCTGCGGAAGGAAATTGCAGACTATAAACAGGATTGTTTTGTGAATTTGTGATAAAAATAGGAAACTGGTGGTGGAAAGATTAATTATCGTTAATGTTGGGAAAACTCAATGTTATATGTGCTTTTAAGTCTCTGTTCGAAGACAGTCATATTATTTTTAGATTGGATTCAAAATGGCCGACTGGGGACCATTTAGTTTTAATGAATGTGGTTCTAATGCCATATCTCTGGCATGCTTGGACTAATTATGTCAAATTTTATATATTCATTATAGATCATGTCAAATTTTTGTACTAAAAAAATCATCAAAAATCAAGCATTTCTGGCATTCCAGAACTGGATCTTGGCGTTTATAGATGATTCTGTTCAAACTTGGTACATACATTAGAAATTATGGGTTCCTGATATGCTTTGACTGATTATGTTCAAATTTTATATATTCGTTTTATACATGTTATAGATATATAGGTGTATTCAAAATGGCCGACTGCTATCTATGTTGTTTTAAATAATGCTGTTCCAGAGTACCGTAATATCTATAAATAAGGACAAGTACTTGTTTGATAATCAGATACAAGATGAATGAATGTCAATCATTTTTGGTTAAAAAATCTTAATAATCAAGCATCAGCTTCTGGATCCATATCTCTGACATGTTTGTGTTCAAACTATATTACTATAAACAAAACTATATATCTTACATGTAAATTTGATAATCAACAGGAACTGTGTCATGCATGGCTTTTGTTTATGCAGTTAATTTAATGTGTCTCATAGTGCTGTTTATGAATCAAAGTAATGGTAAGATTTCTGATTATGTCATTTTAATATTGCAGATATAAATGAATGTGAACGACACTCTGACAACTGTGACACACACGCCACATGTAATAACACTGAAGGATCATTTAGATGTATCTGTGACACTGGTTGGACTGGTAACGGCACTTCGTGTAGTGATGTAAAAGAATGCAGTGGTATTACATCAAATGATTGCCATCTTCAATGGGCAACTTGTGAGGAAATGGAAGGCAGTTATTCATGTATGTGTAATAATGGATTCTTTGGAGATGGTCGCAATTGTACAGGTAAATATTCCATCAATAACAGGTATAGAATGGAAACGTTCAGAACTGTACAACAACGGATAAGTTTGGAAACAATCCTAACTGTACAGGAAATATTCATCAACAAATATCAACAAGTTACTGATACAGTATGTGGATTTTTTTAAAGATATTTAGATGAACATGTTAGTGGTTGTGTCAACATTTATTTATTTATTTATTTATTTATTTATTTATTTATTTATTTATTTATTTATTTATTTATTTATTTATTTATTTATTTATTTATTTATTCCTTCCTTCCTTCCTTCCTTCCTTCCTTCCTTCCTTCCTTCCTTCCTTCCTTCCTTCCTTCCTTCCTTCCTTCCTTCCTTCCTTCCTTCCTTCCTTCCTTCCTTCATTCCTTTCTTCCTTCCTTCATTCATTCATTCATTCATTCATTCATTTATTTATCATGTACACAGATACCAACGAGTGTGAGACTGGAAATAACGACTGTGCCAAAGAGGGCGCTGTGTGTACCAATACACTCGGAAGTTACCATTGTCAGTGTGGAGAGGGATACAGTGGTAATGGCAGTGTGTGCACAGGTAAATTTTACTGTCATTATATCTGTTTGATTATGTCGACTAAAGTAACAACTAAAAAATAAATAACATAATAACAAATCTAAATCACACAAATTGGTCCAGCAGCATACAGAACGTATGATGTTAACAATTTGTGTAAGGATACGAAATAATGGTAACCCACATGTTATTATTTAAATAAGGTCACCCTTATGGTGAGAATTAGCGATATACCAAGCACAACAATAAATAAAATTACTGTGTAAAATTTTCATTTTTTTTTTTCAGTTTACTATTAAAATAATTCAGTGTTTAGTAGATTTTGAAAAAAACAAACATGAAATATAAAAATATTTGTGTAGTTATGTGATGTTCCAGAAGTTGTAAGCAGAAGATGTTTCTTAAAGAAATGGTATTTTGTAAATATATTGATAGACCAGAGACGGGTATAAACATTGGTTATTTCTATTTGCAAATACTTTGAATCATTTATAGTATGTATGAATATGATTAATTATTTACAAAGTGAAGGTGGATGTGGTATTCTACAAACAACTTATGTTGTAAACAATAAACTGCTCACTAATCTGTTTCCATAGATATCGATGAGTGTGATGAAGACAAAGACAACTGTGATGTTAATGCTGATTGTACAAATCAACAAGGATCGTTTCGTTGTAACTGTAGAGAGGGTTATGCTGGCGATGGTACAACATGTACAGGTAAGAATTTGTAGTAATAAACTGTTCTCTACAATCACACACCCTGTGCTATTCAAAATATGTGCTCACATTATTAAATTAGATTATTTCATTATTATGAACTTTATAGACTTTAAGCAAGATACATTACATTGCAAAAAAAGCTTAGGAAGAACTTGTGTGTGATGAGAGAGAGTATGAAGGTACATGAAACAGTAGCTGTGGACTAAATATAGCTGTGCAATATAATTTGCCAAAAAAACAAAAATTCTTATCTAACCAAAGCAAGGGAAATATATTTGATTGTATAATCTTATACTCTGCTGAAACATACATGTAGGAGCCATTTCACCCATCAGGTTGCCTGTGTTTTTGAGATGTGCTTAATAACTATGAATGGATTTCAATTCTGAACTACTGTAATCACTTTTATGGATTACAGTAACACAGAGAACCTATGTATCGAGTTTTTATTGAAAACTGAGGAGTGCTTATTGAGAATCTACGGTGGTGTAAGGGCAATACATCATACAATAGTTTATGATGTCGTAAATTACCACTTTGTTTCACTGTTGCTAACATAATTAATGAGGTCACATGACCATAGATGGTCATCTGATAGGTTAGTCAGGCTGCTTACCTGACATCTTCAATATAGAACTGGCTACATATCTTTATCTGTACAGTGCATGAATTATAGTTATTATTATTATTATTATTATTATTAAAATACAAATCAAAAAATCCTCTTCTCCCATAATTTCCATACCACACTCTGGGAATGAATTGAAATGTACAATGTTGTTACAATGGGGGTTAGATGAAAGGTGCAGTCTACTCATAAAGCTAAATGTCTTTTTCCAAAGAATTTCATCAAAAGATCTAATATAAAGATTAACAAAAATGCACAATACGGAATATCACAAAATACAGAAAATAAATGACATTTAACAGCTAAGGACGCAAATTAAAAAAGATAGTTAAGTTTGCCATACCGTCCGCAAGTATCAACCAATAATTGTTGACCATACGCTCCTATACTGAATACTACAATATCGTCAGCGTAAAATAAATGATTAATTCTCTGACTCCTCATTAAACAACCAATTGGAAGGGAGGATAGTTCATTATGCATATTTATAAGGTCACATTCCCAAAAATGATCATCTGATATATTTGTCACATCTCTTGTGTGATGTTATTATAGGAAAGAAATGTGTTTCCAACATATTGGATTTTGCAAAGGATTATGGGATAGAAAATTGAACCATAGAGGGTGTTTGGGGAGGGACTCTTATCTTTTCCATACAGTCCTGTGCTAACATCAACCTTAAACTTCTCCTGCTTTCAAGCAATGTCATTTTTTTTTCTGTGATATATGTAAAACCGAGTATTACTTCACAGACAAAATAGACCAATAAGTTGAGATATCACTAATGTATATCTGTATTTCATTTATTTATGTATTCATTTTTATTAAGATATTGATGAATGCAGAATACCTGATAGAGCTGGTTGTCACCAAGATGCGACATGTTTGAATAGTCAAGGTAGTTTCCTGTGTCAGTGTAATGCAGGCTATGGAGGCAATGGTACACACTGTACTGGTATGTTTTGTTTTGTTACTGATATAAGATAAGATACATTATTACAGCTGAAAAAAAAAACATTTTTGAGCGGAAAAATATAAATAATGTAATAAAACAGAGACAATTGAGTCTTTAAAAAGCATCTGTTTACTGGCTATTGTTGTCTCTAATGATGTTAATGAAATGAATGACTGCCTTTAATGTTTCTGAGAATAGAATGGGTAAAGCTTCATTTTTATTTCTGTGTATAATTTACATTCTGTGAAAAAATGCAGTTCTTCTTCTAATTGGTTGTAGTAATTGCATTTCCTTTGTTCATTTGTAACTCTGATGTCTACTTTGTTCAGTTGGAATTCTATGTGTTCTTATTTAATTATTTCCATGTAATAGTTAAATGTATTGAGAAATCTCTATCTTGTCTTAAACAGTTTGTAAGTTTATATTCTATATATATTATATTATTTCACTAATGATATTAAAATTGTTTTACCTAAATACATATTTCCTGCCTGGTAGATATTCAGTACAGAGATAATAATTGTATCATTAAACAGATAGGTTTGGAGTTTCCCTCGCTGATTGATGTTAATCTTGTTAATTAAATAAAATTTTCTAGACATCAACGAATGTAAAATGGACATATGTGAACACGATTGTGAGAATTTTGATGGTACATATGTATGTTCATGTCAGACTGGGTTTGTGCTGCTTGCAGATGGTATTCACTGTAACGGTTAGTGTTTTATTGATTTATATGACGTAACTGAGCACTGTGTATTGAACATTGTTCTATTAGCAGACTTTGTATGTATTTACATGACGTAACTGAGCACTGTGTATTGAACATTTTTCTATTAGCAGACTTTGTATGTATTTACATGA